TTGTCCTCTCTCCTTACGTGCCTGCTTCATCTTTAGGTTATGGCAGCTTCAGCCTAGTCTCACACTCACCCACCCCCTCCAACTATCTGGGATTAAAATTCCCGTATTAGAGGACATGTTATTGAGACAGAGTTATGCCCTTGTGCCTGTTCACAGATAATTTTGAGCAATGACAATCAGCGGCATGACAAAAAATTATATAGAGTTGTAAAAGACTCTAACAGTAGAAATACAATGCATCCTGTAGGGCTGACATGAACTTCTGATGCCCACTGCTGTTTGTTCGTCTTTTTTTACATTTTACATTTTCACATTTTAACCACTGTAGGGTGAATGAAGCATCTCCAATATCAGACGAAAATGTTTAAGATGGTGGTCAACCTTCTATAATATACCAACAATTAAAGCACTGCAGTGTGCATTTAAAACAATAGCACCACAAGGCAAACACAAAACAAAACATAGATGTGATTCTTTTTTTCCATTAACTGAGGCTTTTTAAATCATTCCTGTGCTTAAGATATCTCGGTTTTAAAATCTGTGGGTTCTGAAGATAAACTGGAGTTCTGAATTTTATTTTCTCTTGCACTGTATGTGTCTTTGGATGTTACAGTTTTGCTTTGCCTCTAAATAAAGTGGCCTTTCTAATTTCACCCTCCACAAAATGTAAATGGTATTACTTCACATGCCTTACTTGTTTCCTAAGAAAATTGTGGCCAGACTCAGTTGTCTTAAAGAATACAGGGGTAGTGGGTGTAGGTTTCACAATTTATTTAGAATGATTAGTAATTGTTTTCAGGAAATGTCATTAGAAAACGAAGTAGAAAGTACACATAACCAGAAATCAGTGCTCTGATCATTCAAAAGGAGCCTAGGCTGCTGTCTAGATTCTACTGGCAATTTTCTAATTTTTCGCTTTGCAGAAATGAACGAAGATTTCACAGGAGGAGAAAAAAATCAGTGGTATAATCCTTTCTTTAGGGTAGCCTACCCCAATTTGGTACCATTTTTCACATACGTTTGGAGTATACTGTAACTCCTAGAAGAACACAAGTTGGGAGAGTCTATTGTAAGGGGGGGAGGGGTGTTGAATGGAAAATCTGTAGCATGCATGCAGTTCCCCAGCCTGTTTTGTACTCCCAGATTCACTGCTAGCTTAACAGATGTATTTTGTTCCTTAACCCCACCCCACCCAAATCTTCTAAACAAGACACAAAAGGAAAGAAATCTGCCCTTATTCACTTTTGACATACAACTACCACACTAGCTGTACTCTCTACAGCCCTCAGCCCCCAAAAGGTTGCACCACTCCCATTCTTGGACACTGACTAGAATTTCATGCCTTGGGAAGTACATTTAGCACCCCACTCTCCCTTCCATGAAACTAGAAACTTTGTAATTTAAACATATATTTACATTGCGCTGGGTTGGGTGGACACACCTAGCTAATCTCAAAAAGCTTAGCAGGTTTGACCTGGTCAGCACTTGGATGGGGGATCTCCAGAAGATTCGGGGCTGTAGGGCTAGACTGGGAAGTCAAGAAAGTGTCCTGCAAGAAGGCAATGGCAAACCACTTCTGGGTTGTTGCCGAGAAAATTACATGGATGAATCCACAAAATAGCAGGAGTCAAGTTCAACTAAAAGGAGACCTTACTTACTTGTTTGTCAATTTATGTTATTCATTTGAGTTTTATTATTTCATTGTTATTCTTTTCCAACTAGCAGTTACTGGAAGAAGGGGGAGTCTACTTTGGGACTTTTTTTAAACTAAACATACGTACATATTTGTGAACGTAGTAAGAGCAAAATACAGTAATACATCAGCAGGTCCTGTCTCCTCCCTTGGCATCCTCATGCTGCAAAGACTGCTTGCTAACCCATGCATACTTCTCCAAATACGAAATGTAATAGTATATCCTCATATTGCTATATGTTTGTAATTTGAGAGCAGGGAGGGAGCAGAAATGTATCTGAGAAAAATATCTGAGGTAGATTGAAGTATTTTACTTATAAAAAGCCTGACATCTAGACAGCCGATAAAGTAAAATGAAATATCATCTCTGGCAATTCTCAGCCTGTTGCTAAGGGAGAGGACTTGTTTTTGCCAAACTTCAAGAACAATCACAGAGTTCCTATGCTTCTTCTCTATTGCTGCCTCAATGGATACATCACCACAAAGCTTGCTGACAGTTGCTTCCCCTATTTCCTTTGGCAAGCAACACTGTGCCTCAGACTGTGTGAATGTGTTGTCACCAGGTTCTTCTTTCACTCTTCAGAACTTTTTCTCTTCTACTTGGCATTCAGCCCTTCCAAAATTTCATTTGTCTTATCAACAGCACAACACAGCCCATTCATTAGAGAAATGCTTTTCAGAGCTGACTACAATGGCTCCTGACAGATTGTTGCTGCCATGTCTGTAAATAAATTGAAATGTCAAAGGCTCAGGTTTGATACCATCCAGAGTTTTTAAGGAAAAAAAGGAAATGCCAGTGAGAGCCAAATTAATATTTAAGAGGGCAGAGATGCAAACTTGATGTTGGGAATTGGCAGATCCTTACTTCCCAGGCAAATGTGAATATGTTGCACAATGGATGCTTGTATCTTCTTGTGGGCGTGCAGTTTTTGACTGGAAACTTTGCCAATCTATCTTTATTGCCACTGAAGTCCTCTTGAAAGATGTGTAACAAAATTTCATAATAATCTCCTTCCTGCTCCATTTCAACATATTTGTGTTTTGGTGGAAATGAATAGCTGTGTATAGTTTTAAAAAATATTTCTGTAATATCACAATGAACATAATCACAGCAGTCTAACAATTCTTATTTTATTCAGCATCTTGTCCATAACAGGAGGCTGAGACGGAAGCTTCCATTGTTCTACTACTGTGTCTGTCATCATCAAATGAATTCAATTATCATCAATTGAGTTTTCCCCCTCAAATTTAAAGTCAAACACATCTAGAGGACATCAGATTGGAAAAGGTAGCATTAGACTCTTATACTTCCTCTAATGCAGTCTAGGTAGCACACATCCAGGTTAGCTCTTCTAATCGCACGATAATTCTGCCAGATTGGTTAGCCTGGCTGTGTGTGTCTGTCTCAAGATCATCCCAGTATCCTAGAAAGAATAATAATAGATAGTAGACATCATTTGGTCCAGCCAGATTTCTAACTGAAATTCTGTCTGTCTGTCTAATCTATCAGCTGCTAGTAGCCCCAGTTCAGGAAAGAGCATGCATGGAATATATTAATAGTAAATATATCCAGAAAATGGTAGGAGAGAGTTAAACACTTGTCTCCCAGTGCCACGTATCCAGTGGAAATCTGTGTTTTCCTCATAGTATGTTAACATAAATGGGAAAGTTGGCAACTTAATTATTGAATTAATTCTGGGTTGAGAAGAGACAAGGAAGCTCATTGCTCATCACTGCATGATTTTGCAATTTTGTAAAATAAGCAACTTTTAGGAAAGTAATTGTGATGGCTCATACTCCTGAGTAACCAAAAAGAAAAAAGGAAGATAAAGTACAGTAAGACCTTGGAGGGGAAGGAGAGGCATCTGTTTAAACTAGGATGCCATTAAATCTGAAAGAAACTTTTGCACCTGCATAAAAAAAGTTTTCCATTTTGTGCATCTGTAAAAGCATGCACCTAAAATGCCCCCCACTCTAAGGAGAACATTTTCATACTTGCCACCAGCATGCCCACTCTGATATTCCAAGGCTCTTCCTGCCACTCTTTTTACTGGTCTGATTACTCCCCAATCTTCCCAGCCCCTTCCAGGAAAAACAGCAGCAAAACCCCGGTTTAACAAACTTTATTTTATTATTTGTGGAGGATATCTAGCCTCAAATATTATCTGTTGCATCTAAAATCTGTTAAATAGAAAAGTCCATTAAATCAAGATTTTTAGTGCAATAGGCCCTAAAAGCCATAATAGCTTTTATTCACTCTATACCCAAAAGATTGAGACTGATTTTTTGGGGTGGGGGGGGTCTTATCATAACCCTGTGAATTAAATCAGGCTGAGAGGCATGGCATTATACTCAAAACCACACAAGTGAATTTTATGACTGAATTTGGATTTTTTGCCCCTAAACATAAATGTAACTGCTACTCTAAAATAGAGATAGTCCCCAGGTCAAGAACGCCTGGTTTACGGACGACCCATAGTTAAGAATGGAGTCTATTGTAGCAAAATTTGAGTTAAATACACAATGATTTAAGTTAAATGCGCAATGATTCGAGTTAATTACACAATACTACTTATACAGTATTATACAATAATACTGTTCTAGCTTACATACAAATCTGACTTAAGGATAGACCTTGGGAACTGAACTCATTCCGAAACTGTGGACTACCTGTACACTGTTTCCCAAATACAAAATTAATGTACATAGAGTCAGTTATATCTGCATCTGTAAATTAGTTTTACATTTAAACTTCTTTACCCAATTTCTAATCATGTTGATTTTAATAGACTGACTTAATGTCTGTTAAGCTTTGTCTTAAACTGTGCTAATCCGTTACTGGATTATACGTG